GCACCCTGCTCACTGAGCCACAGGTGCTGCCCTAACATATATTTCTAACAACAACTTATTCAAAAGCCCACCCATATACCAATAAGCAATCCATGGTAACTATGGATTAGTTAATGCTCTGAGTGAAGAAAGTTCCTGCTTCAAGAATACACCAGTGAACTTACCATCATCTAAAGTGATGTCCTGTAGACCAATGGTTGCAAAGTGAGGCTCTCGATCTTCAGGTTCAGGTTTAATGCTCACGGTTGCCCCATCAGGTGGAAACGAAGCTGCATCACACAAACTGTGACATATTAAGGATGAAGATGCAGAAAGATCTCCCTGGTCTGTACCTTGTGCTTGAGCTGAGTGCTGTCCAGAATGCATTCTGGTGTCTGGAGATGGTGATGAGGCAGTTCCTGAGCTAGGAGATTGGTAAGGCATAGGCTGCAGCTGAGGAGATGGTGGTCCAGAGAGTGGTGAACTAGCCAGGGGACAAGAGGATGCTGAGGAAGCTGATGTAGCTGACCCTGAATGTGAAGGATGGTATGTAATAGCTTGTAACTGAGGGGGAGGCTGACCTGTGACCTGGTTGGCCACTGGAGAAGAAAGAGATCTCTGTCCTGTATTTGAACAATGGTATCCCAATGACTGCAGGTGAGATGGGGTATGCACAGAATGAGGTGTATGTGCTAAGAGATGTCCTGTTGCGCTTGAATTTGAAGAATGAAATGGTATGGATGACAGTGTTTGACAGCCAAAATTTACCAAATTAGGAACAGCTGCATCCTGCTGAAACAAAACCGGATCAAATTCTTGACTAGAGGCAGCATTAATAGGAAGACAAGTTGGTCCGTTGTACACATTAGCTTGCATAGGCTGATAGGAAGACCTCACAGGAGGTGTTGGTGTGACTTGAAAAGGCTGGTGTACAACTGGAGAAGGTATCATATGCTGTTCTTTACCAGCACTCTCATCCCTACACTGCAACTGTGGCAGATGGGATAAAGTTACCATGGATGCATATGCTTGCTGGATAGGACACACCAAGCTTCTCTGTGCTGACAGTACACTGTCCTGTGGATGCCCTGGATCAGAGGAAGGCCTCTGAGTTTGGGCAGGATGAGGCACAGGCAAAGATGGTATAGAGGACAAATCAATCTCTTCTCTGTGTTCTTGTTTCATCAAAACTGAAAAAAAAAATGATTAAAACAGATTATACTACATAATACATACAATAATCATGATAGACCTTCATCCTAGGCCACACAACTACAGCATGTATTTAAGCCAGGAGGACAAACTCAAATGTCTTAAGGGAAGGCAGCTCATGTAAAATATTATGTGTGTAGATATACATAGATGTACATACATTTTTGCCTGTGAAAACATAGATATCTCTGGGTAGATGCACAAGAAACTCATAAGTGCTAGATTTACTGCTAGGAAGAAAAACTAGGTAACTAAAGGACAGAGGCAGGAGGGAGATTCACTTTTTACTATATATAATTTTTGTGTCTCTTAAATGTTTTTTACTGTGTATATACTACATATTTAAAATTAATATATTTTTTAAACTTCCCAAATCCTACAGTCTAATTAAACATTCAATTTGAGGATTCCTGCACTGAAATCTTCTAGTCACTTGGTTTTCTATGTTGCATCATACATCAGAAATCATGAACCTGACATTCATAAACCTTCTGGTTTCCCCGAATCTCATTTGATTCTATATCATCATAGGAGGATCGAAAGAAGTACTAAAAAGCTTATTGGAAAAAGCTAATCAACAAATTCAGCAAAGTTTTCCAAGATATAAAAATCAATATGCAGAAATAAGTTATATTTCTATATACTTACAATAAACAATCAAAAAGAAAATTAAGAAACAGTTGCAGGCCTGGTGCCTGTAGCTCAAGCAGCTAAGGCGCCAGACACATACACCAGAACTGGTGGGTTTGAATCTAGCCCAGGCCTGCCAAACAACAATGACAACTACAACCAAAAAATATGTGGGCGTTGTGGTGGGCACCTATAGTCCCAGCTACTTGGGAGGCTGAGGCAAGAGAATCACTTAAGCCCAGGAGTTCTCCTGATGGAGAAAGTAGGGCCCTTGGTTACGTAAGTGATTGGTTACCATGTACTAAAAAGAGGGACTCAAAAAGAGAGGCTGAAAACTACAACAGAACATCCACCATTTTTGCATTATTCAAACTTTATTACTATGTACTTGACCCACATCTAGACACCTAAATTGAGAGCTTCACTCTGCTAAACAGAATGTTATTTCTACTCTGACAAATCAAGTATTGCTCAGGTCCATAAGAGGTTCAGACTCTAACTTCACCAACCCACAGAAGTCCTCACAGCTGGTTCATCCAAGGTAATCTCATTTAGATAGAAATACAGTTAAAGGGACCTTATAACCTTACACTATCTAGAATAAGCTGAGTTTTAGAAACACATGAACTCTTTTTTTTTTTTTTTAGACAGCGTCTCACTGCGTTGCCCTTGGTAGAGTGCCGTGGCATCACAGCTCACAGCAATCTCTAACTCTTGGGCTTAAGAGATTCTCTTGCCTCAGCCTCCCAAATAGCTAGGACTGCAAGTGCCCACCACAACACCAGGCTATTTTTTTGTTGCAGCTGTCATTGTTCAGCTGGCCAGGTTTGAAACCGCCAGCCTGGGTATATGTGGCCGGTGCCCTACCCACTGAGCTACAGGTACCACCAACACATGAATTCTTATCTTTATTTTTGAGATGGTATCACTTTGTCACTCACCCTCTGTAGAGTGCCATGGTGGATAGCTCATAGCAATCTCAAACTCATGGGCTCAAGTGATTCTTTTGCCTCAGCCCCCCGAGTAGCTGGGACCACAGGCTCCCATCACAACATCTGGCTATTTTTAGAGATTGGGTCTTACTCTGGCTCAGGCTGGTCTTGAACTCCTGAGCCCAAGCAATTCGCCTCAGCCTCCCCAAAGGTTAGGATTACAGGCATGAGCAACCACGCTGGGCTCTTTTTTTTTTTGATACAGAGTGTCACTATGTGGCTCTGAGTAGAGTGCCCTGGCATCAGCAACCTCAAACTCTTGGGCTTAAGTGATTCTCTTGCCTCAGCCTCCCAAGTAGCTGTGACAATAGGCACTCAACCTAATGCCCGGCTATTTTTTGTTGCATTTGTCATTGTTGTTTGGCAGGCCCGGGCTGGATTCGAACCCACCAGCTCCAGTGCATGTGGCTGGCGCCCTAGCTGCTGAGCCACAGGAGCTGAGTCATTTTTTTTCTTTAAAAAAAAGAAGTCTTACTCTATTTCCCTGGGTAGAGTACCCTGACATCATAGCTCATAGCAATCTCAAACTTGTGTGCTTACGTGATCCTCTTGCCTCAGCCTCCCTAGTAGCTAGAACTATGGGTTCCCGCCACAGTGCCCAGCTAGTTTTTCTATTTTTAGTAGAGACAAAGGTCTTGCTCTCTTGTTCAAGCTGGTCTTGAACTTCTGAGCTCAAGCAATCCACCTGCTGCAGCCTACCAAAGTACTAGGATTACAGGTGTGAGCGACCACACCCAGTATCTTTTTTTTTTTTGGTAGCAATTGTCAGAGAGAATGAACTCTCTGTTTTGTGTTATATATGTTTATTCTCCAATTTAGAATGTTGGTGCATGAAGGGATTCAGAAAAAAAAAAATCAATTGCTATAGTAGTTTTCAATCCACTGGTAGTCTGATGCTCCACCTTTAAGCAGCAGACGTGGAAGAGTAAGATCTAGCAAATAGAAGCTCTTGGTTTCCTCTTCCAGTATAAATAGAACAACTTAGCTAGCTTTCATTCTTTCTTATACATTGGCTTTTGTATAAGGCTTTATGTGAAGAATAAAACAACACAAATGATAAGAAAATCACACAGCCCGGGTGTGGTGGCTCATGCCTGCAATCCTACCACTTTTGGAGGCCAAGGCAGGTGGATTGCCTGAACTCATGGGTTTGAGACCAGCCTGAGCAAGATCGAGAGCCCCGTCTCTTAAAAAAAAAAAAAATAGCTGGGCATTGTATCCCAGCTACTGGGAGAGGAGGCTGAGGGAAGAGAATCATCTCAACCTGCAAGAGTTTGAGGTTGCTGTGAGCTATGTTGCCACAACACTCTACCGAGGGCGAGTTGAGACTCTGTCTCCTCCCCCAAAAAAAGGAAAAGAAAAGAAAACCACACAACTAGTCTTTTTACTCTAACTGGGTACTATCTATGGTACAGCTGAGGCCTAATCTCCTGAGAAAGGCAGGCTTTGTCCCACCATCAGAGCCATCACAATCCAAAAGTCAGTCTGTCCAGTCAACCACCGAGAAAACAGAATATACTTTCTCACAGGCACAATGTTGAACGTAAGAGTTTGGCTCTGATGCTGCCCATAAAACTCCCATTACTCCAAAACTACAGTTCAGATGGCACCTCTAATGCTAGTAACTTCTGTTGGGCTTCAGAGGAAGACACAGTGCTTCAATAGCTTCAGGTACACTGGGGTGGGGGGCAGTGTACAAGGATGCCACATTGGAAGCTCTGAAGTTAGAGGCTGGGCAGAAGTTTTTGCAGCACCACTAAGGAAGTGTCTGCACTCCATTACCAATCGTGATCAGGGAACTCTGTAAATCATGTACATATGCTGGGAACTGTCTTCATTTTATAAAGAAACTGCTGGACAAATAATGCTAATTATGATATCTAATAAAGACAACTTAAAAA